GATAATCCCCATTATAGTGAATGGGGAACATATAACTTCAATTTATACAGAGAACCTCAGGTGTCAAATTACAAATCAAAGCATACAGAACACAAAACAATGCAGAAGCAAATTGGAATTTTATTTTATTTTAATGTACAGATACAGGATGACTCCTAAAGCCTGTTCAGACTCCTAGAATATATGCTTTTGACAGTTTGAGTTAAGTGCTTGATCTGAAATTTTTGTCCCTTGGATGATTGTGAACTAAAACCCATCATTTATGTAGCCATTCTTTAGTTTGAATGCATTTGTACCCACAAAGTTCCGAGTCTGAGGTGGCGGGAACACCTTTTACTACGCTCTAGAAAAGAGAAGCGTTTTCAGTATGTCGAAAACTCTCTTTTCAGAACTGCTGCGCTTATTAGAATTTACACCTCTCCTTGGATTATGTATATGCCTTTTCGTTCAATGAGATTTTAGTTTGTTTTACTGCTGTTGGGTTCTTGCAGCCAACAACTTTATTGATCAAAGTGTAACTGGAAAGAGGAGCTGTCAGGCACTGTTCCTTCCATAAAAACCAAAAGTGCTAGCTCTGCAACCTCCAAACCATCGTGCTTTTTTCCCTCCTCCTTCCTTAGAATTTCAAGTAATATGTACATTGAATAACTGCTGTAAAATGTATCGGGGAACTTTCTTTTCCTTAGCATTATTTAGTTAGTTAATGCGCAAATCAACACGCATGGCACTTTACAAAATACAAGGGCAACAGGTCCCTGCTCCAAGGAGCTTGCTATATAATTTTAACACAGGGAGTGGGGAACAGCAGGGGAGAGGCAGGCAGAAGCCTGCTATCTAGGGCAAATGGGGCAGAGACCAACCTCTGTCTGCCCTCCATCAGTCACTGCCTGCCTGTCTTCTTTTTTACAAAAAGTCTGGGGGGAGTGGGCTCTGCCTGTCACTAGCTTTGGCTTCACCTGGTCACTGTTTCTGCCACTAGACAGGTGTCAGCAGGAAAAGGATATGCAGTTGTTTCAGTTACACGTGTTTGGGCTCCATTAAACTTTAGTCACAGTAGAGCTGATCTGAGAGCAGACATGACAGGATATCTAAAGTAAACTGCACATTCAGCTCACTTGATTTGAGCAGGGGGTGAGATAGCAAAATGTTTCTAAAATATATCTTAAAGGTAAAGGTAAAGGTACCCCTGCCCGTACGGGCCAGTCGTGTCCGACTCTAGGGTTGCGTGCTCATCTCGCTCTAGAGGCCATGAGCCGGCACCGTCCAAAGACACTGCCGGGTCACGTGGCCAGCGTGACGAAGCTGTAGCTGGCGAGCCAGCACCAGCTCCGCACACGGAAACGCCGTTTACCTTCCAGCTATAAAGCGGTACCTATTTATCTACTTGCACTTAAGAGTGCTTTCGAACTGCTAGGTGGGCAGGAGCTGGGACCGAACGACAGGAGCTCACCCTATCGCAGGGATTCAAACCGCCGACCATACGATTGGCAAGTCCTAGACACTGAGGTTTTACCCACAGCGCCACCCGCGTCCCTTAAAATACATCTTAAAATGCAATAAAAATACATTTCGCCTGGACATCTGAATATCTGTTTGTGAAGCCTGAGTAATCCTGACCATGGTTGTGCAAGTGATTATGTTAAAAACAAAACAAGGAATAATTTGAAGAGCAGCTAGCAATATTTGTTTAGTCACTCTCACATCTGAACTAAGATCTCATCCATACTTTTCTTTATGCCATGTTTTGGTCGTATTCTATATCAATGACTTATCCTGGGTTCAAGAGCTATTTTCCGTTACCCTTGCATGCTCCTGTTAAAATCTGATGTTAACATCTAAATTGGATCTTGTGAGCTTTGGGGAACATCTTAAGAGAGATTTGCCCCACTTCCTAAACCACTCCTTATAATTGCTTATAAACAGGGTTCCTTGTACTTTCCCCCAGAGATGCATTCAGGGGCAGTCGACTCCCACATCACCTCCTTTCCCCTCCTTCACTTCAACAATAAATTTTCAGTTCAACTTCCAAGCAGTGCACTTCTGGTTTACTCTTACCATTTAGGACCCGACCCCCTGTCTTGCAGGTTACACATGCAAGAGATCTCCTTTCAACCTCTTAAGGTTGGGTTCATCAGAGTTTGCTTCTTATGCACCTCAATTGTCTATGGCAGGAATGTGGGGGGTGCTGTTGCCCTCCAGGTGTTACTGGACCCCAGCTCTCAGCATGACCCATAATAGTTCAGGATGATGGGAGCTGTAGTCTGGCAACACCTGGAAGGCCAGAGGTTTTTATAGGTGTGATTGCAGAGGTGACTAATCCATCAGAGAGATGAATGGGGTAATGGTAAAAGTAAAGGACCCCTGGACGGTTAAGTCCTGGCAAAGGCGACTATGGGGTTGCGGCGCTCATCTTGCTTTCAGGCCAAGGGAGCCAGTGTTTGTCCACAGACAGCTTTCTGGGTCATATGGTCAGCATGACTAAACGACTTCTGGCACAATGGAACACCGTGATGGAAATCAGAGCACACGGAAACGCCGTTTACCTTCCCATCGCAGCGGTACCTATTTATCTACTTGCACTGGCATGCTTTTGAACTGCTAGGTTGGCAGGAGCTGGAACAGAGCAACGGGAGCTCACCCCATCGTGGGAATTCGAACCACCAACCTTCTGATCGGCAAGCCCATGAGGCTCAGTGGTTTAGACCACAGCGCCATCTGCATCCCTATAATGGGGTGCCTATGAGAGAGAATGAAGAATGGGCACCTAAACAACATTCCAAACAAAAAAACCCAACACATCCAGAAACCTTCTCAGATTGCCACTTATCACTTTGTTAAGTGCTGTAGAGCTGCCACTAGCCTCTTGGCTAGTGTCTGTGACATCATTGCTTCTGTTAGTCTCATGTCCAAAGTCTGGCATTTGGTTAGCAGGGTGTGCAAGCCTATCAGTTCAACAGGGGATTGAGAGGCTGCCTGGAAATCTTCTTCAGTGAGAGGTATGATCCTCCTCTCAGCTGCACATCATCTTAAAAGGAGTTCTGTACATCTATGAGCAAAGCAACTGGGTTTAATGGAGGTGGGCAGGGAAATATACGATGTCCATGTCTCCAAAGTCTCCACACTTCCTTTGGAGTACAGTCGTACCTTGGGTCTCGAACGGAATCTGTTCCAGAAGTCCGTTTGACTTCCGAAAACATTCGAAAACCAAGGTGCGGTTTCTGATTGGCTGCAAGAGTTTCCTGCACTCAATCGGAAGCTGCAAAAGCCGCTGAAGCCGCGTCGGACGTTCGGCTTCCAAAAAGGTTAGCAAACTGGAACACTCACTTCCAGGTTTGCGGCATTCGGGAGCTAAAATGTACACATACCTGTTGAGATTTCCATTCCACCTTAAGGAGCAGACATGTGGAACTGTTGCATGTCACATGTTTGTTTACATTCCAGCACAGCTTGCTGGGAACTTCTGTTGTGTATAGCTTTTGCTTTTCCGGTTCTCTCTGAGACGACGAGAGAGAGAGATGACATGTTTCTTTGTCCTGATTTATGATTAATAAATCTGTAGTTGTAGTATGCTTCCACAAGCCTCATGCCTATTCTGTGTACACAGTTTGATCTGCTGATGGTGTGTGCCCTGGCTTTGAAGCCCAGGTCGCTGATTTACGTCGGAGCAGAGGCGAGGGGTCTTCGCAGCGGGATGGCTGGAAGGAGACGGCCCACCTGGGGCTAGCCAGCTGGCCTTGCGACCCTCTGCATGTCGACAGTACCAAGGCGTTCGAGAACCAAGGTACAACTGTATTCCCCCAAATGACTCCAAAATGGGTATCCAAATTTCCAGTGCCTACACGTAAAACTAGAGCACCACATCTACCAGCATGCACAAAATGGCTTCCCCTCTGCACTCTGCATCCACCACACTCAACAACAACATGCATTCCAGACTGAAAGCATTCTTAGCATCGCTCACAAAAAACGCCCTTTGGAGCCACTGCGGACCCGAGATCCTATTTGGGCTGCTCTGCGTCTCATGCAGTCCTATTATTAGATGCAGCAATCATAAAAACTCACCATAAAAATAACACTGCCATGAATAATATTGCATGTATATTTGTTCCATACATACAAACAGCAAGATCATCAGGAACTAATTCTGCATTTAATTGCTGGGACCACAGTCACACCTTGCAGGTATTGAGTCTCAAAAAGTTAAATGCATAACTTCTGGAGCACCTTGTAACATTTCCCAAAACTGTGCTTAATAAGTATTCCAGAAATGCACAACAAGATCATCTACCGCAAACTTTTATTGGCCATTATCCTGCCCTGAATATGGTGCAATCACCCCAAATGCAGTAAAACTTGGTCGTTTTTCACAATGTTTCCCTGTGTAACTGACAAATTTACTGGCACCATAAAAAGGGCACATTTTTTTTTAAAATCCCAAGGGTGTCTTAGAAGTAATGGTGTCAAACATGTTCCTGTTTTCATTACTGTCCAGGCCGCCACAGGACCCAGCTAGACTCACTGTCTTCCCTTTTCCTTTTAAAGTTAGATCACGCTGGAAATTTACATCTGCAACTCTTGCTTATACCAGGACAGAGTGACGGCCAAGGCCCAGTCTGCACATGATACTGGCAAATCCACATCGTTAAATGCAGGTCTGTCCCATTTGTGTGGGGCAGACAAAGAGGGACATGCGGTGGGGGTGGGGGTGCTGCTGCACACCTGTCCCGTCCCCCCCTCCAGGGCCTAATAATGCTAGGTGAATGGCAAGGTGGGGCTTTTCCTTGCGTTTCCTCACTCCCAGAAGTTAAGGTCACTAAAACAGCACAGCAACTTCATATTGATATCATGGTAATTGTGCATTACTGGACATTACTCGATTCAGGTAGGTAGCCATGTTGGTCTGACGCAGTAGAAATAAAAATAAAAATAATAAAATTCACTTTTTGAAATATGGTAACCTTACCTAGTAATGTCCAGATAAAAAATAATTTTAAAAAAATTGTCCAGTAGCACCTTAGAGACCAACTACAGTAAGTTTGTTCTTTGTATGATCATGCACACAAAAGCTCATACCAAGAACAAACTTAGTTGGTCTCTAAGGTGCTACTGGACAATTTTTTAAAATTATTTTTTTATCTGGACATTACTAGGTAGGGTTACCATATTTCAAAAAGTGAAAATCCAGAGACAAAAGCTGTTGAGTTGTTTGAGGAATTTCACCAAAAAATGAAATTCCAACATAGGTTGCCCAAGACATTTTTTCCTGTTTTTGGAAATTCCGCCCAAACGCTATTTCTGAAGGGCAAATCCTGGATATATCCGAGAAATCCCAGATGTATGGCAGCCCAATTAATGGGGGAAAGAAGAGGAGAGGATATTGTTTTCTGTCAGATGAGATTTACAGAGTACTCCTTGCCATAGAAAGCCGGCATAAACTCCCCCTATTCCAAACTCTGTTCAGGAGAAATTTGAATTTTTGCTGGCTTGGTTCCACTGGTTTGCTAGGTCATGCGACCAAGCTGAATTGAGTTTGAAACAGATATATGTTTCTTCTTGCCCTGTCCTGCCTCAAAAGCGGTTTTAGGGTAGGGCAACTGGTTGGGCCACCTTGGGTGCTGTGCTAAAGGGGGCACCACAACAATGCTATACAACGGAGCATAAGAGGCAGGGGCCACTGAATTTTAGCATCACGCAGGGGTCCATTGACATTTGTGAGCCCAAAGTCTGCCACTGCCTGCCCACTCCATACACCCACCACACCCACTTAGAATAACCTTTTTGGGGGGACTTATACCACCTGAGCTGTGAAAGCCCAAGGTCTGCTGAGTCAAAACTCTCTCATCCATTACTCCCATTTGGTTTCCACAGCACCCTTAACTACCTAATTTGACTAGAGGGGATTAACCAGATCCCAGCAGCCTTCTTTGGTAAACTTTATCTAGTAGTTCAATTTGTGTAATGGCTATTTCTTCAGTCCAAGGGTGGCTAACCTGCAGCCCTCCAGTTATTAATGGACTCCAGTTCCCATCAGCATAACCACTCATCAGGGGTGATGGAAGTTGGAGTCCGGCAATATCTGAAGGGCTACAGGTTAACCAACCCTGTTGTAAAAGAATCTCACAGAAATCTAGCAAACCTCTCTGTTCACCCGATACTTGCTTTTATTTTATTTTTCTGCATTTGCACATTGTTTGAATACCGAAAAGATCAAATATAGGAATTAAATTCAGCTGTGTATGACTGTTTGTGCATACTTCCCAGGCCTGGAAAACGTCAATATAGCACTTAATCAATGCTATCTATAGAGGAATATCCCTTTAGCATAGAATATAGCCAAATAACACAATTTCTGGCCAGTTTGGGATTTTGTTCCCATTTTATATCCCCAAGAGGCTAAGAAAGAAAGAGTTCCACATGGGTGGATCAACTTCTGCTTCTTTTCACACTTTATGTCAACCAGCATGACATCATGCAATAAGAACTTTTATCTTATCCACACTGGGCTTATCTGTACTGCTGACTTAAACTGGTTTTAGGAGCCATTCATTTCTCTCAGGTACCTTGGGGCTCTCACTAGGGAGGCAATCTAGAAACAGCATTCCTTTGGAATATTCACCCGCACACCACCATCACAGATACAAATTTTCAGGAGACCCAAACTGTGGTGTGTGCTTCTGGCATTTGTTAAAAACATAGCTTTTTGCTCAGGCATTCCCTAGCCATTAACACTAGATCACATTGCCCTGTTTTTGTGATGCTTGGGGAGAGTGAGGAGTTAAGATAGCTTTGGTTTTTGGTGTTGTGTTACTGGTTTTGCCTTACTGAATGTTTCGACATTGACTTCTACTGTAAGCCACTTAAGATATATTTTTTTTTATCCTGTAAGCAGCCTATAAATTTATGAGTTATAAATAAATAAATAAGTCACAACACACATAAACACCCCAATCCCAATTCCCAGGGTTCTTAGATGGAATCTAAAGTACTTAAAGTGGTATAAAATTAATGTGGGTAATTCTTCTGTCACAATCAAGACTGGGTTCAAGTGTCACTGTCTAGGGCAGGCTTCTCCAACCTGCAGCCCTCCAGATGTTTTGGCCTACAACTCCCATGATCCCTAGCTTATAGGACCAGTGGTCAGGGATGATGGGAATTGTAGTCCAAAACATCTGGAGGGCCGAAGGTTGGGGATGCCTCGTCTAGAGTCTGTCTGGAGATTTCTCTCTCTCTTTTATTCCATTGTGAGTTAAGTCCCCCTCCACATAAACTTAGGACTCCCCACGACATAAGCACAACCTGAGACGTGGCCAAACAAGAGTGTTTAATCCATTCAAATCATCTTTCTCCCCCCCCCCCAAAAAAATCCCACAAGGATATTGAACATGTTCAAAGTTCCCCACTTTCTCCCAAAGTCTAGATGTGCCAAAGTAAGCCTATGGCCTTACTCACAGCTGCTCCAAGGATGCAGTTTGTTGGTCAGTGTCCTTCCAACAAGGTCAATCCAGCAGGTGGCAGTGAACAGGCTGCTATGCCATTCTCAGCTCCAGCCAATTTTTTAAAAGAGCATCTCCTAAAGTAGTTTTTTTAAACTTCCCCTTCTTTCACACTGGAAATTTCAGCAAGGAAGAAGAAGACCACCTATTTAAGAGTCAGTCCATAAAAAATCCAGAGTAGTTTACAGCTGCGATGCTTAGCAAGCATCCCTCAAATGCTCAGCCAAACAAGTTCACTTCTTAGAAATATATTGTAATATAAGATCTAATGCTAACCAACCAACTCCTTGTATATCAACTCAAAAAAGAAAGAAAAGCATTCCCTAATATCAACATCCTTTTATTCCAAGTCTTGAACCCCTGTCCTCTCACGACTAGTTGTCACAGTGGCTGACACACACCCCCCCGAACACTCTACAAGCAACCATTTCTTCCATTAAGATATTGTAATTTGCACAGTTAAACAAGCCCAAGAGGCAAGGCTGTAAAAAAGGAAAGGAAAATGGATTTGCATGTTAGGTGGAACTCCTGAATTTTCCTTTCTTTTTTTACAGCATTGCCTCTTGGGCTTGTTTGCAATAATGATGCAGTACCTGTCTCACAAGTAGAGAGTTGCAGCTTACGTTTTTCTAATGTTCGACATTACGTCCTTTTGCCTTGCAATTTTTAATGGTAACTTTACAGGTGTTTGGAACAACCAGATTGTTGCCCAATTGTTGTTGCTTATACTACATTTTTCTAGATTTGCCTTGAGAGAGTCTTTAAACCTCTTTTGTTGACCACCAGCATTACGCATTCCGTTTTCAAGTTTGGAATAGAGTAGTTGCTTTGGAAGACGATAATCAGGCATCCCCACAACATGATCAGTCCAACGAAGTTGATGTTGAAGAATCATTGCTTTGACACTGGTGATCTTTGCTTCTTCCAATAAACTGGATGATCGAGCAAGTGAGGGCTAAACAGCAACAGGATAGCAACATACATTTGTAATGTCAAGGCTTAGGGCTCTAATAGTGAAGATTCAAAGCCAAATACATCTCAGGAACAGTTGCCTTCAAGTGCAACCCACTACAGGTTCATTTTCACTGTGGGTTCTGTGCACATGCTGGTAGGTGATTGTGAGCTTCCTGTAAGCAACTAGTTGGCAAATCTGAGAACAGAAAGCTAGATTCAATGGGCCAATGCAGCATGGCTATTGATATTTTTATTTGTTTCTTTAAAGAATTGCTATACCATCTTGAGAGCCAGTGTGGTGTAGTGGTTAAGAGCAGTGGACTCATAATCTGGTGAACTGGGTTCGCGTCCCCGCTCCTCCACGTGCAGCTGCTGGGTGACCATGGGCTAGTCACACTTCACTAGGGAAAGGAGATTGTTAGCCACTTTGAGACTCTTCAAATATAAAGAAAGAAATAAAGTGGGATATCAAATCCAAACTCTTCTTCTTCAGCAGCAGCAGTGAAGAAAGGCTTCTAAATCAGTGCAAACAAGATAGTCCCTGAACTCAGGCTTTCAGTCTCTAAAGATATGATACCAAAGGAAAATGGGAGGGAGGAGGGAATAAGCAGATTCAGGTTCAAGTTCCTGGCTACAAGTTCTTATAATAACCTCCTGGAGTGGAAAACGTCGAAGACAAACAGCCCAAAGTTGGTGACTTCTCAGCTGGGAGTAAACTACAACCATGGTGTAACATATTATCCATGGCTTGGGAACATAACAGAGGACTGGGAAGGCATCAGATCCGAATGATTCCCTTCTCTTTTCAGTTGTGCTGATACCGGAGCTCCGATGATGGCAGCGTAAGAGCTGCAGCAGCAGCAGCAGAGGGAAGGGATCCAACAGCTCTTCTTTAGTTCTAAACCCTCTCTGAAGTCAGAGCACACTCTCTGTCCTGTGGGTGGAACAACTGGTGCTACCTATTAATGCAGAACGCCCTAGGGAAATAAATAGCTCTTTGCCCAGCACCAAAAGGACATCTGTGCAGGTGCCAGACAGACCTTTCTGGGAAGCGGATTCCATAATTAGGGTGCCACCACTAAGAAGATCCTTTCCCCCCCTCACTTCAGATGGAGGGGGTACCTACAGAAGGAACTCTATATAGAGCATCTCAACGTATGCAGACAGTTTCTCCCTCAAATCTCCTAGTCATTATGAAGTTCTTTGAAGGTCAAGATCTATAAATTTTACTGGTGGAGTTGTCGTTCCCTAGAAGACAAAGAAGGGTATCTAGGTTGCTTCAAGCAAGCAAGCTACAACATCACTGTGAGAAAAGTTCCTTGCACAGACATGTGAATCATGGCAGGATAATCCAGTTAAAAACAATAATTTGGACCCCTCTCCAGAGTATTAATGCTTATACAGGCAACCAGGTAAACATACATGCATTGCTAAGAAGCCCAAGACTACAACCGTAGCCTCCTCCTCACCACTAAGAATCTCTGAGACAAACCTGGTGTCCCTATATGATTCATTGAAATATATTTGAAATTTCAACATAAGAAATGAGAGAGACAAATCAATTCCAGTTTCCAGCACTCTTCTCCAATGGTCAGTAGTGCTGTAAAGGAATATTGGCGTCCCTGATAAAGGAGCGGCTCGGAAGAAATTAAATTTTAAAAGGATG